GAGGCGAGAAGGCTAAAAACCTTCAACAAAGTTAGGAACATCGTTGATGTGTGCTTCGTGGGGCCCTCTCTGGAGGCCTCTTGGAGGCCTCTTGGGCCGTATTGGCAGCATAGTGGGCTGTCTTGGGGCCATCGTGGGACATCTCGGGGCCATCTTGGACCGCCTTGGGCTCCTGAGGCTCTCTTCGGAGCCCCTTCGGGCAATCTTGGAGGCCTCTCGGGCCGTTCTGGCTGCGCGGTGGCGTCGCCATGATAATCCTGGGATGGCCCGGAGCAGCCAGGATTTTAAGGTTCCCCCCCCCCCCTGGTTGTTTGGTGACGCGGCGGGGCCCCCTAGCAGACAGTAAACAGGAGGCAGGAAACAGGATTGGAGGGACAAATAGCAGCAGACCGCACACACCTTCGCAGCCTTGCGCCCCCAGAGGGGGCCGGCGGATTGTTATTAGAATTGTTACGAATTGCATTATTATTCGCATTAGTATTGTTATCATATTATTATCATTATGATGATCCTTAGCATGGTTAAGTTTATGATCCTTATTATTGTTGTTGTTGTCATTCGTGTTCCTCTCCTCCTCCTCCACCTCCTCCTCTTTGTCTTACTATTATTATTATTTTTATTATTATTCTTATGTTTATTATTAGTAGTAGTATTATTGTTATGTTTCTTCTTCTTCTTCTTATTATTCTTCTTCTTCTTCTTCTTCTTCGTCTTCTTCTTTCAATGCGTCCCCTCGCCCCCCCCCCCCCTCGACCGCGCGCATGCCCAGGGCCACGATGAGCTCCCCCTCTTCGTGGCCCTTCCTCCTCGGCGCGCCCGGCCTCCTCGGCCCCGAGCAGCAGGGGGCGAGCGAGCTCGGCAGCGCGCAGCTGCTGCGGAGCGGCCGCGCCCTGTCGATGACCGCGGATCAGCGGGCGGAGTTCGCCGTGCCCCTGGCGTGGTTCCACGTGCCGAAGACGGGGACCTCCTTCTGCAACGCGCTCTACCACACGCCGACGGTGTGCAGGTCCTTCCCCGTCCCCGAAGCGGGAAAGTCCGCCCGGCCATGGACTCTTGGAGGTCCGCGCGGGCTGCTTGGGCCGGCCGCGGGCCCCCCCATCCCTGGCGTCGCCGCGGGCGCCGCCCCTGGCGCGCTCCATGCGCCAGGGAGCGGGGTCCAGGATCCAGGAAATCCGCGTGGACCTTGGAGAGTCTATGCTGTGGCCGACGTTTCTGGTTCCAGCGTGGAGAACTACATCGGTGACTCTTACGACGCCGGTTCGTGGGACCCGACTTGGAGGTCCATGGACACGCTTTGTCCTGGCGGCTTCAGTTCGACGTTCAGGGAGGCCGTGGTGGGTCAGCACGGAGGCTTGGACGGGTCGCTCTGGGCGCTCAACCGCGGGCATCTCGTGACGATGCTGCGCCAGCCAGAGCAGCGCTTGATTTCGGGCTACAACTATCTGGATCAAATGGAGTGGCCGTTCGACACACCGGCGGCGAGCCTCAGGGAGTACGCAGAGTGGATGGCCGGCGGCACCGTGCGGCAGCTGACGAGGGGCGGGGGGCACGCCTCTGGAGAGCTTCCCTTGCCAACCTCAGAGGAGGTGAGCATCGCGATCCAGAGGCTGCGGGAGGGCTTCGTGTTCGTTGGGATCACGGAGCAGTGGGATCTCTCCATCTGCCTTTTCCGTGCAATGTTTGGGGGCGCGTGCGTCAGCTCAGACTTCTCGAACACACGGCAAGGGAACAGCTCTTCTGGAGGCTCTCTGTATGATACCAGTGAGCTGTATGGCTTTGTTGATGTCTATGATGGGCCTGTGTATGCCGAGGCTCAGGACATGTTCAGGCAGGGAATCAAGCTATACGGAGTTGTCGAGGACAAGTGCGGTCTAGACTGCTGATGACCACGATCCGCCGGTCGGGTGAGTTCACCTGATCTAGAAATCAGGAATTAGGGTTGGCAAGGCCAGACGGAGGAGGAGTTGGAAACGGCAGGCCCGTGTCGTAATCGACGCGGCGGCGAACCCGACGCGGGCCTTCAAGCGTGAACGCCGCCAGTGGTCTAGAGTCTGCCGACACCTAGCGGTCGGCGCCATCGGAAAGCTGCAACGGTAGGAGGCTGAACGATCCACGCGGTGACAGAGGCCAGCGCCGAAGTCGTCCCGACACGAGCCCGCGCCGAAGGTGGTTTCTTCTTGCCCCAGCCGCCTGTCCTCAAACGGCTGGCGTGTGTACTGCCTCGGCGGTCGCCTCGGCGGTCGCGGTCAACTTGTCGGGCTTTTCCCTCGCGGTCGCAAAAGTCAACATCATCAGGGCTCTCAGCATCAGCCGCGTCGAAGGAGGTGGGTCCTGAAGGAAGCGGGTCCTGGAGTTTCTTCGTCGGGTCCGGGCTCTGGGCGGCGAGGGGCGAGGGAGGGAAACCTGGTCCTGGTCCAGGACCCGTTTCCCTCGGGACCCATTTCGTACATGCCAATTCAGCCGCTTTTTGTTTGGGGCAACCGCGAGTTGGGCCAGCGCAGTTCGGAGGATGGCAGGATCTCGTTCCCCGGCCCCTCTGGGGGCCCCCAGCAGCAGTGTTTGACAGCTCTGCTCTTCTGTACTTTCCGAATGTGCTCAAAAGCCAAATTGGGCATTCAACCGTGATGATCAACTTATGGATTGGCCTTCGGCACATCCCGCTACCGTGCCTGGGAGTTGGGTCGGAGGCCTTACGGTTGCTTCGTGGGGTCTCTTGGGAGGCCTCTCGGGGGCCTCATGAAGGCAGTTTGGAAGTTTCTTTGTGAGCCCCTTTTGGGGTTCTTGGGGGCATCACGGGCCTCCATGGCGCCTGCTAGTGCCCGGCCTATCAACCTATGGGAATCATCAGCAAACTGACGTTCCACGGTGTCAGCTTGGAGGAAGCGTCGGAACACATACGGCAGCTTGGCAGCCGGGCCAGAGTGTTGCGCAGCCAGGTGTCCTCGTCTGGGGGGGGGGCTGCTGGGGAGAAACAGAGAGAGACATACACACACACACACACAAACAAACAAACACACACACACACACACACACACGCACACACACACACACGCACGCACGCACGCACGCACGCACGCACGCACGCACACACGCACACACACACACACACACGGCCTGACGAGCGTAGTAGTGCGACATTCTTCCTGGTCGCCATTGAACGTTCTCCAGGAATGTTTTTTGAGGATCTCAAGTACCTCAGCTTGAGACTTCTTCACCATGTATGACTGAAGCTTACACGTTGGCAACAAGTTCACAGATGGAGGGTGGGTGGTTTTCAATGTGTGGCTCTCGCATTGGCTCCGCGCGCATTCGTTATCAAAATGTCGCTCTCGCCTTAGCGCCGCGCACATTGGTTTTAAACATGTGCAAGAATGTCACGGGTTGAGGGCGGTTCCTTTTCTCAATGTGGCTCTCGCCTTATCGCCGCGCGCATCCGTTTTAAACATGTGCAACAGCTTCACGGATTGAGGGCGGGTGGTTGGGCGGCTCGTTTCAAAAATGTGGTTATCGCATCAGTTCTGCGCACATCCGTGTTAAACATGTGCAAGAATTCCACGGGTTGAGGACGGGCCGTTATTCCCCATATCCTAAGGATTGGGGTTCTTGTTATTACTCTGACGCCTCCCACTGCTCCTCCTTCCTCCTTCCTCCCGCTCGCGCCTCCCTCCTCCCAATGATAATCACCAGATAAGACAAGACAAGATAAGATAGATGGAGCCTCATGGTCATCACAAAACGCTGCCAGGGGCATCATTTGGGAGCCCCAAGGGGGAGCCACCCTGGCTGATCTCACGAGCCCGTTCGCGCCGATTTTGGTGGGACGTCTCAGCTAGAATTGCCGTTTGGCGCCCCCAACATGTATCTCTTGAGAGCCTCATGGTCACAAAACGCTGCCAGGGGCATCATTTGGGAGCCCCAAGGGGGAGCCACCCTGGCTGATCTCACGAGCCCGTTCGCGCCGATTTTGGTGGGACGTCTCAGCTAGAAATTGCCGTTTGGCCTCCCCAACATGTATCTCTTGAGAGCCTCATGGTCACAAAACGCTGCCAGGGGCATCATTTGGGAGCCCCAAGGGGGAGCCACCCTGGCTGATCTCACGAGCCCGTTCGCGCCGATTTTGGTGGGACGCCTCAGCTAGAATTGCCGTTTGGCCTCCCCAACATGTATCTCTTGAGAGCCTCATGGTCACAAAACGCTGCCAGGGGCATCATTTGGGAGCCCCAAGGGGGAGCCACCCTGGCTGATCTCACGAGCCCGTTCGCGCCGATTTTGGTGGGACGTCTCAGCTAAAATTGCCGTTTGGCCTCCCCAACATGTCTCTCTTGAGAGCCTCATGGTCACAAAACGCTGCCAGGGGCATCATTTGGGAGCCCCAAGGGGGAGCCACCCTGGCTGATCTCACGAGCCCGTTCGCGCCGATTTTGGTGGGACGCCTCAGCTAGAATTGCCGTTTGGCGTCCCCAACATGTATCTCTTGAGAGCCTCATGGTCGCAAAACGCTGCCAGGGGCATCATTTGGGAGCCCCAAGGGGGAGCCACCCTGGCTGATCTCACGAGCCACAGACGAGAGAGAGGAGATGAGAAGAGAGAGCGAGAGAAGGAGAGAGATGCGATGGGAGACGAGCTGAGAAGAGAGAGAGAGAGAGAGAGAGAGAGAGAGGTGAGAGAGAGAGAGAGAGGAGAGAGAGCAAGATCGATAGAGAGAGAGAGAGAGAGGGAGAGAGAGAGAGATGAGGACGCGACGAGAGAGAGAGAGAGAGAGAGAGGAAGCGAGAGAGAGGGAGAGGAAAGAGAGAGAGAGAGAGAGAGAGAGAGAGAGAGAGAGCGGAGAGAGAGAGAGAGAGAGAGATCGGACAAGTAGGCGGACCAGGGTCCGTCCGCGAGGCGCACTGCGGTGCGACAACTCGCCAAACACTATTTGCGGCGGTGCAGCCTTGAGATACGAGGGCGGGCAACAAACCCCCTCCCCCGGCGCAACCACGCCCCTCCCGGCGCAAAGCGACTGACGCTTTTTTTTTTCTTTTTTTTTTTTCTTTTTGTGTATTCTCTATTTTTTTTTTTTTATTTTTTTTTTTTTTTTTTTTTTTTTTTATTTTTTTTTTTATTTTTTTTTATTTTTTTTTTTTTTTTTTTTATTTTTTTAGTTGTTTTTTTATTTTTTTTTTTGTTTATTTTTTCTTAAGACGGCGGACAGACAGTGAAGATCTCACGAGTCAGACCGCGTGACGAAGAAGGCCCCAACAAGAAAGGCGACGTGCTGACACGTGGCTAGGCGGCTTGGCAGACCGCCAGTTGGGCGCTCGGCCGCAAACGCGGCGCGCAGGGACGGGGCACCCCCCGCCCCCACGCCCTGATACCGTGGACGCGGGGCCACGCGTACACACGGGCAGGCAGAATGGCGGAGATTAGCGCGGGGCTCCAGGCGGAGCGCCGCGGAGCGATGACAGCATAGCATGGAGGGTGAGTGGCGGCGCAGCACCATCGGGCGAGGGCGTAAGCAGCTCGGCGAAGGCACGCCCAGCGCGGTGGAGGCGCTGGAGCAGAGGGCCTTGACGGGCTTGAGCAGCGGCAAGGTCGGCGGCGAGAGCAGCACACCTCTGCTGAAGAGCGGCCATAGACTGGGACAGCTCGGCTTCGCGGTCGGTGTGGGGCGGCTGCTCTGTGCCTGCGGCCGCGGGCCTCGTGGCGGGGACGAGGTCATCGGTGCGCCTGGCCAGGTGGTGGACCAGCGCGGTGCGGCGATCCGCGTGCTGGCGGCCGTCGCCCTTGCGAGGCGACTGGAGGGCAACGCGCGGTCCCAGGGCTGAAGCCGCTAGGGCCACGCCCCGTGAGGACGGAGGAGCCGCAGCCTCGCACCCAGCAAAAGTAAAAGCGTGGACGGGGTGCGACGGCCTGACTGGCTCAGTGCCCTGCGGGGGGGCTGGAGCCGCCCCCGCGGGCTGGCGCTGGTGGGGGGGCGGGGTGGGTGGCACGGGGGGACCAATCATGATGCCGTGCGAGGGCTCGGAGGTCGGCCGCGTGGTCGGGTGACGTCTCGATGAAGCGGCATCGTCGGCAGCGTGGGGTGTCGGCGGGGCGTCGTCTATGCTGCCACTCAATCCGAGGGGATCATAAAGGTCCTCGTCGGCGTCTTGACGGTGAGCGACGTCATCATGTGGGTGCGATGTCGCTCTCGGTGGCGGAGTCGAGGTGGGCGTCGAGATGCTGCCCGACGGGGCAGGGTTGGCGCTGGCTGGCCCGTCGTCCCGGAAGTCTAATCCCCCGCCGAAGCCGAACGGGTCGTCCTCCTGTTCGTCGTGCATCGCCCGTTGGGCCTCGGCCCAGAGCTCATCCGGGTTCTGCGGGATGTATGGTCCAGCCGCGGGTGGTGCCTGGTCCGACAGCAGGGGGTTCGGTTCCATTTTGCTGAGTTCAGCCGCTGTAAACCCAGCCCTGCGGTGTGGGAGCGGCAGAGTACGGTGTCTGCGCTCGTAGATGGCGACAGCGACCCCGTGAAGCACGGTCGCTTGGCGATGTCATGTTTTGGCAGCTTCAACGATGTCGTCGGGGAGGTTGTGCGTGCGTGCCGCCGCTGTGGCAAGGGCGTCGGCCTGACGGTTGAACTCTTCCGCGATGGGCCCGATGAGCCCAAGGTCGATGCCCAGGTCTCCCAGGTGGCTGGCGATTTTTTCGACGCGAAACATTTTGGGCTTGGCCATAACACATCGGTGGATCTTTTCCCAGAGCTCCGCGTGCGTGCCCTGCGGCGCTGGATGTCCGTCGATGATGCTTTGGAACCCATCGACCACCGCCTGGTTGTCCACGAAAAACGTGCACGGGCCGTTCGGCACATGCCTTAAGGTGGACAATGGCGAGGGTCTCCGCAACCTGGGCGTTCTGCGTT